GATTGTGGGGTCAGGGAGATGGCTCAGTAGAATAAGCCCTTGCCTGGTGAGTACAAGGGCCTGAGTTCAATCCTCAGTTCCACCAAAATAAGTAAATAAATAGAAGCTTCACACAGAGGCACAGAAACTGCTTTGTTTAGGGGGAAAATGGAGCACTATCAGTGCAATTTGACCTGCATGTGTGTTGAGCTAGCAATGTGTGTGCAAATGACGAAAGTCCAATGCGAGCTAGTCCTCTGTATTTTTGGCTGCGTGATTTTCCTCTGCCTTCCTTCCTTGATGTTCTGGGAAGGCAGGCCCAGCGCAGGAGCGCTTGAACTCCCGCTGGGGTAGGGAGGACTTACGCTGGCACGGCTCGGCACGGTGCCCTGCCCATCGCTCTTCCTCTTGAAGGACACTGGCTTTGCTCTATTAAGTTACAGTCAGGTAGACTCTTCCTGGGAAAAACGTGGGATGCTACCACACTCATGTATTGAGGGGTGAAACTGGTTGTCTTCTAGTATAGAAGAAGGGATGTGAAGTCGTAGGAAGGAACACGTAGGGTGAGGTAGAGAGAAGAGCTCCGCTCAGATCGTAGTGGGCAATCAAGTTGACGCTTTGAAATTTGCTAACATGTAAGGAACTATGAGACTGGTCCCTGAAATTTCCTTACAGAGTGCTTCAGGTCCTACTCAAGGCCAAATGGAAGTGTTATGTAATGGTTCTGCTTAGCTGTTGGAAAAGCAGTATTTGTAATGAAATGCAGTGAATTAATGGGAAGATGTCCCTCGTGTAACAATAGCTTTAGGGCTCCAGGACGGGTGGCCTTCTAGGCCACTGGTAGCCACCACCCCTTCCCTCAGGATGACCAAACATTTGAGGCCAGGAATGTGGTCCTGGAGCTGAGGGGCGGAGTGCTTGAAGCACCTCCTTGTGGATGAAACTTACCACAGGGCTACAAACACTACCCCACACACCTTTCAAACGTTTAAAAACTGTTGATTACAACCTCTCTTGCCAAGCTTTTGCTCCACGCCTTCTTCATGCACGACACCCTCCAGTAAGTGACACTATCAAAGGAGGGGACAGTCTCTCTGAAGGGGTCTCTAACTCAGAGGACAGGAGCAAGCTTAACAGGAGGCATACATACTTGGGGGAAAATGCCCTGCAGCAGTTCTTGCAAGCCATGCTGGGATTTGGTTAGTAGAGGGCCCCTCCCTTTCCTTTTTACCAAGTGAGATTAGTCAGTGTCCTGGCCTCTCCCGGGCCAACTCAGATGGCTGCTTCAATGGACAAATTCAGCTGACAGATCGACTGACACGGAGCTTGCCACTAACTAGCACTTGTCATTTTTACTTGAAGTCCAACAGGATTAAACTACACTGTCCCTAAAGCCCACTGTTTTACTGTACTGTTCTGGAGGGGAGCCACTGAGCCCTGTGTAATTGTGAGGAAGGGGTGTACCACATTTTCTGGTAAATCTAAACCCACCAATGCAAGCTGGTGGCCAGATCTGGCTTGCAAATGTTTATTTGCACTCCTCTGTGTCTTCAGTTTTTAGTTAATTGCCAGCACTTAAAAATAAGTAGATGAAAAAAAAAAAAAAAAAAAAAAGGTGGAGGGATGTGTCCTTGTCATTTCTAGCATGTGTCAAAAATCCTGTCTCTGGCCATGCGTGGCCCTCACTCTAGCTGGCAGTCTCCTCCAGAGTGCGCATGCCTGTCTACTGACCTCCTGGCCCATCTTTCTCATTCCTATCCCTTCTTCACTACTGCAGAAATTTAAGTTTGCAAGCTCCTTTGAAAACTTTCTCTGTTTCCTGGATCACATGCGACAATGACACTTGGTAAAGGACACATAGTAAGCCCATAGTTCTGCCACTTGCACTGCCTCAGCAGTGGGATTTGTGTGAGTGCGTGAGCTGTGGGCAGCCCTGTCTGGTTCATTCATGAACATAGATGGGAGGACAGCTAGAAGCTGAACGTCCGGGGATGGTTCTAGACGCTCCCTGCAAGGTGGCTACATTATAGATGTGCAGAAAGGCTGTGAGAGATTCGGCACGAACATCTGTGAGCATCAGAGACAGACGAGAGCCAGAGAGGAAAAGAGGCTTGTGGAGTTTTTAAGTGTCTCTTCCTCTTCCTTCTTTCACTGTCCAGGACCATGCCACAAACGGCGGGCAAGTGGCTGCTGTACCCAGCTGGGCTCCCTGTCGGCCCTGAAGCATGCTGTCCTCGGCCTCTACCTGCTGGTCTTCCTGATTCTTGTGGGCATCTTCATCCTCGCAGGTAAGAGCAGCCCTTTTCTACACTGACCTTTTGGCATGAGATGGGGAGTTCTTTGTTCCTGCTGTCAGGGGCCCAAATGCTGCCCCCGTCACCATGGAAACCATCGAAGAAGCTGGCTTGACAGGGCTCTTTGGTAGCATTGGCAGTTTTATGTGGGATGGTGGCAGGGACTGCAAGAACTGCAGAATCTGAGTGCAGTGGTGAGGAGCTGCTCAGTGTGTCTTCCGCCTTTCTCTGTCCTCGTGGACACAGCAGTGTACCGGGCCTCATTGGACCTCTGCATTGACCTTGGGGGGCATCATCCTAGTTCCTTGTCCTGGGGTGCCATGAACATAGTTGCAAGGCGCCCTCCTGCTCAGGCTGATCAGGGTCGTGGTAACCATCTGCAACTTCTGGGGGCAGAAGCGGTTCACCCCACTTCAGCCAGGCTTTCCTTCCCTGTCCTGTTTGTGAGATAGGCCAAGGTTTGGGACACATTCTTTAGTCAAAGGGAAAGAGTTCATGGATTAAGGAAGGGATCAAAGGAGGGGTCTGAGGACCTTGTGTCTGAAAGTGGTGCGTTGACCTCTACAGGCTGCCCATCAGTTGGAGCTACACAGCAGAGGCTGTGAGTGTCCCCCCTGGTTCCCATACAGGCCTTCCTTTCCCGTCTTTCCCACTGGTGATGTGTAGAGCTTGATAATACAAGACCAAGAGATGGATTTATCTCAGTCCAACACATCTCACATGAGAGTCTACCTCCTTCCAGGCTCTGTGCTAGGACGGAGGACACAGAAATAAGACCCAGGGGCTTCTTAAGGAGCTTCCGGTCTACATCTACAGACTGTGGGAGGGTCAGGCACACGAAGTCCTGTCTCAAGGTGGAACACGATGGGTACTGAGGTGGGGCTGGGGATACCGAGGAGGGGTTCGCGTCCTTGGAGACTGTGGCTATTGCCTGGAGAAGGGTGGGAGTTGTCAGTGTAGCTGCTAGCCAGGCACAGCAGACTTGGTTGCTGAGGGTGGGGTCCTGAGTTAGCTCTTGAGCAGGAATCTGGAGGTTCCACCCCTGAAGATGACCCTTTGCTGGAAAGCCTGAGGCAGATGCCCAGGACCTCCCTGGTTGGGACTCCCTCTCTGTCAAGTGGGTCTAGCCCCTTGGGTGTTGTAATGGCATACTCAGTGTGGCCTGTGCCTTCAGGTCTCTATGCTCAGGGGTTCGGGGTGCCATCTGTTTCAACAGCCACTGACCTATGGCCAACAGCAACAATAAGAGAATCTCATGATTCATCCCAGGGACCAAAGGATGGTGTCCAGCAGGTCTATCATGGGCCGAGCCAGCCACAGGATGATTGAACATGTTCTTGGGCTTCTTTGTGAGAGCTTAGGATCTGGGTTTTGTGGGTTTGGCTGCCAGAACCATAACAAATTTCTGGAATGTTTGGAAAGCATTACAGCCCAGCAGGGAAACCAGACGATGTCGTTACATCTGCTCTGCAGACCAGGAACTTTTAGGTGACAGAAAGGGTCTCAACAGGGTGGGTGGGGACCTTGGGACAGAGGCCTCCATCCCTAGAACAGCATCATTTCCTGGGGAAGAGGAGACTTCCAGGGGAAGCAAGTTCTCTCCTGAGATCTGAAGCATTGCCATGTGGGAAAGAGCAACCATATTGTGTGACCTCAGGGCAGAACTAGGACCAATGAGTGGAAATTATAAAGAGAGATTTCCATTCAAAATAGAGGAGTTTCCTTACTAGTCGAGCTGTCCAACATGACACAGAAGGGCTTTCCCTGGCTTGGGGGCTGAATGGGATTTACGATGACATCTTGGAAGCATTGGGAAGGAGGGTGAAGCATGGTTTCCCAATCTCATGAAAATGTTGCTGCATGTTGTTTAGTCATTTCAGGTGGAAAACAGCGGAAGATGGTTTGAGCATTATAATCACCTTCCAACCTCAAGTTTCTTGGTCTTGCATTGTCAGTATGGAATGAAAAAATTAGGGGGGTTGGAAATGACACAGGAAATGTGTCCTACCCTATCTCCTGGCTCTGGCTGCGCAGCCATGGTCACCTCCCTGGGTTCTTATCTGGAAATCGTGTTGGCCCCTGAGAAAGGGATGGTGGGGACAACCAGTGAGAGGGTAGAGTTCACAGCTGCCTGTCCCATAGGGAGGGGACTATGGCACACAAGGCCCTGGCTTCTTAAGTGGGCTCTACTTGGTTTGAGGGAGGATTCTTCAGATCACTTGACTGGAATCCTCTAGGGATGCTCCCTTCCCACAAACATCAAGATGGCAGATGCCCATGGTTCAGGGTGAACCAGAGCTGGCCAGGCCCTCCGTTGGATTCCTACTGTGGGAGCTCCCTCCCCTGTTATCCATGCTCTAGAGAAGTCATCTTGCCCAAAACATTCTTTTGAGCCACTTTAAACTTCAAAACCTGTCAGCACAAATCTCGTATATCCTACTCTTAGATGGCAAAATTATCCACTGTGACAAGAACCGTATCTCATAGCTTACTGGCAACATCTCATGTGAGTGTATATACTCTTACTGTTCCAATATTTAAAAATTATAACCTCATTGTGTCAAAATATCACTCTTTTGAGATCCTCAGGATTTCTTGTGAGTCATCCTGTTGCCCAAAATATTCAAAATAAAAAGCGACATTGTGCCTTCTGTCTATGCATCACCCTAACTCCCTTGTCAGAAGATTAATCCATTCATCACTCAAGTGATTCCCTCAGTTGGTCATTCTGCCCTCCATCTGACTATCTGTTCCTGACCAGCAACCTCCCAGGAATTGTCTCTTGACACCCCCATCCCATCCCACCTCATCCATCCCACCCCATCCATCCCATCCCACCTCATCTATCCTGCTCCATCCCATCTCATCCCACCCCACCCCATCCATCCCATCTTACCCTATCTATCCCATCCATCCCATCCCATCCATCCACCCTGTTCATCCCACCCTACTCCATCCCATCTCATCCCATCCCATCCCACCTCCTCCCACCCCACCCCATCCATCCATCCCGCCACATCCATCCCACCTTATCCCATCCCACACCATCCATCCCATCCACCCCATCCATTCCACTGTATCCATCCTATCCCATCCCATCCCACCCCATCCACTTCATCCATCCCATCCTACCCTATCCATCTCACCCCATCCCATCCCATTCTACCTCATTCCATCCCACCCACCCCACCCCATGCATCCCACTCTATCCATCCCACCCTATCCCATCCACCTCATCCATCCCATCCTACCCTATCCATCTACCCCATCCATCCCACCCCATCCATCTACCCCATCCATCCCACCCCATCCATCCTACCCTATCCAATCGCATCCCACCCCATCCATCCCACCCCATCCTATCTCACCCACATCCATTCCAACCTTTCCCATCCCATCCCAGCACTGCCCACCCCATCGCATCCCTTCATCCCATCCCACCCATCCCATGCCATCTACCCCATCCCATCCCTTCCATCTCATCCCATCCCATCTCATCCAATCCCATCCCACCCCATCCCATCTCCTCAGCTTACAGATTTCCATTATCTCTGAAGAGATTGCCACAGTCAATTTCACCTCAAAATTTTTCTTTGCTTTTTTTCTTCAAAACATTTTGTCAGTTATCTCATTGGTAGTTTTTCATTATATTATGTTCTTGTTGTTGTTCTGTTTGAGATTCATTGTAGACAGCACAGACCATTGGGTTTAAATTTATGAACAAAGAATTGAGCTTGGATGGTCATGTGGTCAGAAAGTTGCCAAGCAGCACTTTAGGCAAGTTGTTCTCTGTGGTAGACTTAAAGGAGCAGAGAAGTCTCCATGACTATTTTGGGCCACCCCTGCAGGGATGCCATTGAGGGGGTTGTTCATGTTACAAGGACCTGTGAGAAATTAATTTTGTCTCAGTCAAAGAAGAGGTCCACACTTCTTGAGGAATTAGTTGCTTTTCAGCTTGAGGCTGTGAATCTAAAAGTCATTACACTTTCTTTGAGGGAAGTGATCAACACAACCTGTGAGTCAGCTGCTAGCCTTGCTCTGTGTGTGGATTCAGAGATAGCTAGAAGGAAGCCAGGAGCCAGCTCTGTGCTCCACCCGCAGCGAGCACTGTGGGAGAGCAGCTGTGTGTGAGCCTCGTCCTGGCCCCCTTCTGCTTTCACCTTGTTCCATCTCTACTTAGTGTATTCTGTGTAAATTGCCTTGGTCCTTTTTGGGACGAGGAAGGGTGCTGTGCAGTTTTACCTTTAAAATGCTCTGCCTGGGTATAGTGCTCAGCTGGGTATAGCACTGAGGCAGAGGCCAACCTGAGCTACACAGCGAGGACCTTGTCAGAAAACAAAAAATGAGAAAGAGAAGGAAAAAAGGTGTAAATGGGAACAACTGAGCCCTAAAGAATTAAAAGCAACAAAAAGAAAAAAAGAACAAATCAAAGAACAAAAATGTTATACACAAATATATATTTGCCCCTCACAGCAAAAGTGAAGCAACTAAATATCCAGGGTAGGATGAGAATCAGTAAAGGTTCGAAGGAGGGCAAGGCTGAGTAGGATTCCACGGGAGAACCCCACAGTTGAGGAGTGGGCCTCATCATCAAAATGCTCCGTGACAGGTGACGTGCAGCATACCCAGTAATGTGGTGCGTGGGTGCCAACAGGAAGGCGAGGGGGGAAAGAAGGTACAGCTGTACAGCTAGGGTGCGGGGATCAGGGGAGAGAACGGGGCAGTCGGAAGCACTGAAAGGATGCCCAGGACTTGGAGGCAGATTTATTTTCCTCCACGCGCACTGATCGGAACGTTCCCAGAATATCAGACCCTGCTCTCCGGTGGTCTAGGGCTCATACAGGGTAAGCAAGCAGGCAGCACAGAGGCAGAGTGCCTTGTGCCCTGCGATTGGCTTATACACTGTGCAGTGGAGGGACCAGCTAAGCATCCCAGTGACCAGCCACTTCTAAGAGACAGAGCAGCTGGAACTAGAACAGGGACTGTTACCTAGG